AGTCCATTAGCTGGGCTTCTTCAAGGGCAGTTTCTGTAAATTCTTTCCTTCTGGGAATGGCCATATGACCTTGATTCTTTGCCACCACCATTACCCACATTAGGTTTTGGTTTGTTTATTTGATAACTTAACATTGCGGGTTTGTTAGCAAGAACTCAAAGTACAGAGAGCCTCAGGGCAACAGCCTCCTGCTTATTTAGCAACAGAAACAACCATTTAGTTTATGTAAGGGAAGGGAAGGCCTCATCTACACCACACATGATCTTAGCCAAAAAGCCAAAAAACAATTCATATACTCAAAAAGGATAACAATGTCTAGGGATAAATTTAAGAAATGTGCAAAAGTTTTAATGAAGAAAATGATAAAAATATGCCTGACCAGAAGTTGGCATTGCATCAGAGAGGTGAACGCACAGGACGATAGTGTTAGTGAAGCGCGAGTTTTATAAGAAGCTGCCTGCAGACATGGGTCAACATACTGATCTTTGGGGGAAACCTTTCACTCTTTCAACATTTTGTAGGACGTTTGCTTTCAGTTTTCCTCATATGGAAGAACCCTCTGTTTTAACCAGTGTAAGTGTGAAATTCAGCAGCATCCACTACAATCCCTGTTGTACAACCAACACACTATCCACCTCCAGAATCTTTTCATTATCCCAGCTGGCAACTCTCTACCTATTAAATTTGTAACTCTCATTACCCCTCTCTCCCCTCTCCCTTCCTCACATCCCAGGACTTAGTAACCATTTCAATTTTTTGTCTCTCTGAATTTGACTATTTTAGGTGGAACCATCCAATATTCATCTTATATAATTTTGTTAAAACTTTTTTCTTGTCTCTTATTTACTTAATCTTTTGTTGTTTTTCATTTGATTTTCTGTTGGTTTCCACTTGTTTCCTGAGTTTTATTTACTTTTTGGCCCTCTCCTATTGTCTTAGCACCTGTACTTTAATCTTACAACCTTCCTTTGGACTTTTTTCTTTTCAAAGATCATCTTTCAATCTCTCAGAAGATTGTGAGAACTATAAATCTGGATTTTTTTTTCCTTAGAGTTACATGTGTGTACATGTGTGTAGTGTCTATGGTCCTGTGTTTGTTCCTTTCTGGCTATTACTGATCTGTGGACACAGTTATATCAAGGCATGTTGAAGGAGAGTGTGGTGATAGGAGAGGTATCCTAGGCAGTCTGTGGCTTCAATGCAGGTTTGTTGTCATAAACACCTTTCATAAAATCTGTTATTTACAGCCAGGGAAATATATGCAAGGAGTTAATAAACTTATAAAAAGGTGTCCACACTCATCAGTCTTTAGGGAAATGCAAGTCACAATCTCAATGAGATAGCAGTACACATCCATCAGAATGGGTAATTTTGAGAAACTGACATTAGCAAGTGTTGGAGAGGCTGCAGGACTACTAGACTGTGTTATACATTACTGCTGGAGAATATATCTTGGTATAATAAACATGTTGAAAATTATTTGGCTGCTAAAATTAACATTTGCTTTTACCTAGAAATTCTGCAGTATCATTGAGTGGGGTGTAAGAGTGATCTGCGTGGCAGATACACAATAGGTTAACTTTCATTGCGTGTACTATTTTGGATCCATGTGGTGTCTAATAAAATGTAATTTTATTACAAAAAAATAATAGCTTATACTCAAAGTTTAGGTCTTTGATTTCTTCAGCTGTCAGAAGAGAACTTTTTTAAAGGCAAGGGTGAAGTAAACATTTTACTTCTCTCAACCCAAGGGAACTGAAGACTGTGTGTTTCCAGGACTGCTTTCTTCCTTCTGGCCCTAATTTCACTTTATAGAAAGTTGGATATGATTTACTGACTACTATGTTTCCCTGCAAAGAATATATTCCCTGCTTAGAATTGATATCACAGTTTTAAGTTGTTTAATTCCTTCTACCCACAGTAGAATTAATCTGAGGATCTGGACAACAGAACTTGGTGAAATTTGGCAAGACTTTCTAATAATCAAGTCTCTTTTGTGCTTGCTTCGGCAGCACATATACTAAAATTGGAACGATACAGAGAAGATTAGCATGGCCCCTGCGCAAGGATGACACACAAATTCGTGAAGCGTTCCACATTAAAAAAAAAAAAAGTCTCTTTTGATGGCAGGTGGCAAACAATTAAAACTTTGGGTCTCTAACATTTGGAAATGTATTGGCTCATAAAACTGTGAAGTACAGATGTACTTCTAGCTTCAAGTTTTACTGAGTGCAATCTTAGCAGGTTACTGTCTCTGGGCTCTGCTTTCTGCTGTATTGACTTTATTCTCAGGGAGTGATTTCCTCTAGGTACCAAAAATTTAATCACAGGGTACTCTAGGATTATACCACACACACAGCTAGTGATCCCATAGGGAAAAGCATGTCTCTTTCATGATAGTTCTAATAAAAGTTCCAGGGAGGGCTGATGGGTCAGGCTTGGGTCACTTGTACATTCCTAAATTAATCACTGTGCCAAGGAAGGTTTGATTCTTTGTCTAGATAGGCCTGGATCATATGGAAACCCTGAGATTGTGGTGGAGAGGGGTCAAGGAGTAGATCACCCATGGAAAAGAAACCTCTTTTTACCTGAAAGATGGGGGTTGGAATAGTATGGTGGGCAGGCATACTAAAATTACCACAGGCTACTCTCCTGGAGGAAGTAGCTTGTGGGGACTCACCCCCTATTCCTATATCCTGCAGTGGTGATATCTAATCAATGAATTAGAATGTTTCAGTTGGGGAGTAGAGTAAAAACAATTCTTTGGTCCATAATGTATCACCTCATTCCATTAAAGCATCTGGATGTGCTTTGTAAATATGCCCAGCAAAATGCCATCAATTGGGTTCTCCAACTAATAAAGAAAATGTTGGTAAAGAGTCAAAGTCTTGGTGATTGTGTCATTAGAATCACAATCTATTACTTTTAAGAAACATCATGCCTTATTTTCAGTAGGAGAAGCAGCTCTTTGCTACAGAGATTATCACGCTTTAGATAATATTCATTCCTATTCTAATTTCACACTGGAATTCTATTCATTAACTGCATTTATTTAAAAAATCATGCATCATTCATATTTCAGTGTACCTTGCATGATTTATACTTACACAACTTCATTAGATCAGTTTACAAATGGTCTCTCTCTCTGATCAAATAAAAAAGGTAAATGGACATACTCTTGTGGTGAACTTTGAACTTCTTTAAACATTGCTACACAGTTCTAGATACTGTGGTTCTAGACAGTTGGCTTGCTATGAACAGACAATCCTCAGATTCTTATGGAACTGATTTAGTGACTTGGTATCTGATGAAGGCTGCTGCTTTTCCCTGTAAAGTAAGAAGCCTGTTTACCTCCTCCCAAACCTTCTCACCTGCAGTCTCCCAACTTTAACCATGGTATCTCTACATAAAATAAGGTGTTGGCTTTGTTTTATTAGGCAAGGGGGAAGCAAAGGTGAAGAAAAGTTTGATGGTCTTGCCAACTATCTTGGTTCACCTCCAGTCTCCATAAATAAACCTCAAATTACAGGCTGTTGAGAAAGACTCAAAATTAAAAAAGTTAGTTGGACACTCCAGGCAAAGGAAACTGAATGCTAAAGCCCCAAGGGCAGGAATGTGCTTAGAGGGTTCAGGGAACAGCAGGGAAGTCACTCTGGCTAGAACTTACTAAGCAGGAGAGTCCTACAAAAAGTTGCATACCCAGAGGACAGGGCATATAGGTTTTGTAAAATAGGGTGAAAAATGACTATGGCTTGAACTAGGTGAAAGTAGTTGGATTCAATACATATTTTGAAAATAAGTCCAAAGAGAGGAATCAAGGTTGATTCCAAGGATTTTGGCCGGAATAAATGAGATAAAGAATGGCCCCATTTATTGAGACAGGGAACACTGAAGGAGATGTGCATTGGTAGGTGGAGAATAAATGAAACTCTACTTGAAGTTAACTCCAAGATGCATATTACAAATTCAAATGAAGACAAATAGGACGTAGTTAAATATATCCTTTGGATTTCAGAGGAAAGTTGGGATTAGAACCTTCTCTGACCACTATCTATGGGATTAGATGACGAAGTGACTGTGAAATGACAAGGAGGCAAAGGACTGATCCCCAGGTCAGGAAGGGGGGAGAGGGGCCGGGTAATGGGGATCACCTGTGGTCCCAGCTACACGGGCTATGCAGGAGATGGCGGAAGGAGGATCGTGGTCCCAGAATGGCCCTGGCCAAGACCCCATCTGAGAAATAAACAAAAAAACAAAAGGCCTGGGGGCATGGCTCTAGTGGGAGAGTGTCCGCCTAGCGGGAATTTAAGGTCCATCGGTGGAGCGCCGAGGTCAAGACCGCTAGTCCGTGGAGGAGGGGCCGGGCTGGGGCAGCTGGAGACAAGAAGGGGTCGCGGTGCTCCCCTCGCCCTCGTCCTCCCCCGCCCCCACGTGGCCTCAGGCTAAGAATATGCCGGGCTCCTTTGCCTACTCGCCCCACTCCGGGAGAGGAGCTGCAGAGGACGCCCAGCGTGTTCGGCAGCGCCAGGCCTCGCGACTCTGCCCAGCCCGCCACATCTGAGGAGGCCCAGAGGCGAGGAAGAAGGAAACTCCCTCCCCGAGGGCGTCTCGCGCGTGGGCCGCGTCCGTCACTGTTGGGACGCTTCCTGAGTGACGCCAGGCTCTCCTCGCCGACTGGCCTCCGCGCCTCCGCTCACTTGCTCGAGGACTACTCTTTCCCTTCCCCAAGACAGTCCGGGGCTCCTGTCCCCAAGCCCGCTAACCTTTTCCCCATATCCCCGCACCCCGACCCCCACCCCCACCCTCCGGCCAGGCGCCGCCTCCCGCGGCCGTCACACGCGACCCCGGACGCCAGAGCTCCGGGTCAGAACCCGGCCGGCGGGGAAGTGGGCGGGGCGCGTGGTCACGTGGGGGCGCCCGGGCCAATAGGAGCGCGACTCTGGGTCGAGGCCAGCCGCACCGCGCAGCTGTAGGGTAATTGTTCTTGACCAGCGCCAGGGGTGCTGCTGAGCGAGCTGGCGTGGGGACCCGTGAGCTGCGGCTTGGCATCGGCGATAGGGGTCCACCGGAAAAGAGCGGAGGGACAACGCCAGCCCGCACTTGCCTCCTTCTCTCCCGCCACGCCCCCGCGCCCCTGCGCTCCGGGACACCACTGATCTCCTCTGACCAGGCCGGCCATGGAGCGCGAGGTCCAGCGGCTTCGCCAGGCGTTTCGGTCCGGCCGTTCGCGTCCTCTGCGGTTCCGGCTGCAGCAGCTCGAGGCTATGCGAAGGATGGTGCAGGAGCACGAGAAGGACATCCTAGCCGCCATCGCCGCCGACCTGTGCAAGGTACGCCCAGGGCAGGAAGGGCTCGCACGTCCCACTGGGAACCGCATTCTGCCGGAGCTTTTCCCCCCACTCTTTTACTTCTGATCACGCAAGCATTGTGGGAGTTTGTTTTTCCCTACTGTACAAGTAAAGCAAAATTCCTGCCGACTTTCCCTTGTCCAGCCTTGCTAAGAATTAGCCCTGTGGTGTATTGTGAACACACTGAACGGGCATGCGTGTCCTAGCCTCTGTAGTCCGTCTTCTGCGAATTGTCTTTTGTATTCTTGCCCGTTTTTCTGTTGCACCTATGGGCCATTTCCTTATGATTTGCAGGAATTCTGCATGTTCTGGATGTCAGTAATTTGTCATCTTGCCACATTACAGAGATTTTTCTAAGGGCTTTTTTTTTTTACGTTTAACTTGGTTTACTTTTTTACTTTTTTTTGACAGTGGATTTTTGGGGGATTTTTTTTTTCGTACTCAGTTTTTCCTTTATGACTTTGTGTATTGTTAGGCTAGTGCTCCTTAAACTGGTGCGCTGACAATCACCTGGGGACCTTGTTAAAATGCAGATTATGGTTCAGTTGGTCTAGGATGGGGCTCAGATTGTAAATTTCTAACGAGGTCCCAGGTGATACCATGTATGTTCTGATGATACTGTTTTCATCTTTTATGTGTATTCCATGCATGGGAAGACCTTCCTTTGGGTTTATGATTCTCCCTCCCCCCTCAAAGACTTGCAAGAAGTAGTAACAGTAGTAGTTGTAACTATAAAAATTTCCTGTAGAGTGCTTTCAGTGGAGAAAGGCTATGATAGTAAATAAACAAGATGGGGTAATGGCCTGCAAATAATTTATTAATCCTACAGATACCAAATATTTGTGTAGGTGTGTGTGTTTGTATCTATGATTACAAAGAAATATAAGTTTCCTACCTTTGAAAGTTTTTAACTTGGTTGGAAAACAACCACACAGATAAAAAGTAAGAACAGTAATAAATCTGTATATTAAGGATGAAATTTTTTAAATTTTGGGTTTTTTTTTTTTTTTTTTTTTTGGTGGTACTGGGGTTTGAAATCATGGCCTTGCACCTGCTAGGCAAGGCACTGTACCACTCAAGCCACACCCCCAGCCCTAATGATGAAATAGGAAGATATAGGTCAGAAGCATAATTGCTATGGTAGATAAAATGTGATCAAAGTAGGCCATTATTAATCAGGCAAGTCTTCCTGAAAGAGATAATGTCTAAGCCTAATTTTAAAGGGCTTGGATAAGTAGAGAAGGATTTAGAGGCATTGAATATATTAGGGAGATAGCAAGTCCTTAGTGAGGGAATAGAGGTTGCAAAGGAATCTGGATGCCAAACCAGGTGGTCTGATAATCTCAGTTTTTGTCACCACAGATATGACTGACCTGAGGTTTTTGACATCCTGAACCAAGCATATCATACTCATTGTGCAAGATTAACTGTGATTCTCTTATACCAGAGTGAATTCAACGCGTACAGTCATGAAGTCATCGCTGTCCTTGGGGAAATTGATCTTATGCTGGGAAGTCTTTCCGAATGGGTTACTGCTAAACCAGTTAAGAAGAACTTGCTTACCATGATGGATGAGGCCTATGTTCAGCCAGAGCCCCTGGGAGTCGTACTGATTATCGGAGCTTGGAATTACCCTTTCGTTCTCACCATCCAGCCAATGTTGGGAGCCATCGCTGCAGGTCTGGTGCCGCTTCTGTCTTTATAGCTTTTTAGAGCAACTTATCCTCTCGTACTGGCTGTAAGTTAATGATAGTGGCTAATTAAGTACATTTACTTTGGTGGTTTATCTTGGTTTACAAAAACTAGCAGCATATTGAGAATTCATAAATAAATATTATATATATATATATTTTTTTTTTTTTTTAATGGGCTGCTGAGAAGATTTGCTGTTTTTTTAAGTACCTGGGGAATGAACCTGTGAGGGTGAAAGGCATCTGAGTCTAGGAGGCCCAAGACTTTGGAGTTTGGCATTCATATTCATAGGTGGTTTCAATTGCTGGCTCTGCCCTCAGACAAACCTTTAGATTCTGTCTGACCAGTTTCTTCATTCAGATAAGGGTTCTTGGGAGTAATGCTAGCTTAGTATGTCCCAAGAAATTAATTTCTTACTTTGGAGGATCCAGCTTGAAAGCTTGTGTTAACATAGCCCATTTGCTCAATAATTCCAGGGCAGAAAGGAAAATCCAAGGGAGACATGGGCAGAAAAGTAATATAAAGCTGGAAGAGTTGGAAAAGTTGATAGAGTCTGTTTGTACTCCCTACATGAACAGTATTTTGGTAGATATTGAAGTTATTCATCTAATATTTACTAGATGATACTGTCCTGCTTTTTATTTTGTTTAGGAAATGCTGTGGTTCTCAAGCCTTCAGAAATAAGTGAAAATACAGCCAAGATCTTGGCTAAGCTCCTCCCTCAGTATTTAGACCAGGTAAGTATCTCAACCCATCTAGTGCATGTCATTGCTGGTTGGGGATCTGTATGCAATTTCCTAAGCCAACAATCGACTCAATAAACAAAGTTTCAAAATACACTGTGGAATAACTTAGTGATTATAGTTACACAATGTATTAGGCCTATGGCTTCATAAGTATCCCTATTTACAGATCTATCATTTGGCAGTTTGGATTAATCCATGTTTGCACTAACATACGACTTTAGATGTATTAATTTAGTGAATTAGCTAATAAGGGGCTGGGATTGTACTGAATAGTAGCATTTTTTTTTGTCACTGACTATCTCTTTTGTCCTGACAGAATATCATACTGTATTTTTTTAATTTTTAAAATTTATTTGGCAGCACTGGGGCTTGAACTCAGGGCCTCATGCTTGTGAGCCAGGCACTCTTATCACTTGAGCCACTCCTCCAGTCCTTTTTTTTTTTTTTTTTTTGTAATGGATTTTTTTTGAGATAGGGTCTCAAGAACTATTTGCCCAGGGCTGGTTTTGAACTATAATCCTCCTGATCTCTGTTTCCTTAGTAGCTAGGAATTCAGGCACGAGCCACAAGTTCCCGGACATACTGTATTATTATATGAGTACTTCTGCTTTTGAAAAGGATATGTCTGTGGCATGAAAACTACAGAAAGAAAATAGCTTTCTGAACATCAGGGTCAAGGTGCTGGCATTTAAGAATATCAAAGTCTGCATAGGGGTGGTTTTATCTCTTTGAATCAGCGGTTCCTGTGCCTTCCTAGAGAGGAAGTTTGTGATTAATTTCAGACTGCTGAGTCCCACATGCAGTTCCTTCAGGCAGGAGTCTTCATTTCGCATTCACCAAAAGGCAACTTTAAAATATCCCTCATGAATTATACACACTAATTTATAATGGCTTTTGGAATAATATTTTGCTCTGTTATCTTTCCCCTGATATGGCAGCCCACAGAACAATTTTGTTCTTAATAGCTGTGGTTATCCAATCCAGAAGGATGAAATGGAAGATAGTGAGATGTCATGGATTGAATAGGACTTAGAACCTTACCGGGGAACTGCTTGCCCCTCACCAGGGGTAAATTGTTCAATAGTTGACTCTGTCTACATAGGGAGGATAATAATGGCTCTGCTTCAGTTAGCTTGATGGTGGCCCAGTCACATAGGAGCTCTAGATTAAGCCATGGAGCTGCCATTGAAAAGTTAAAACCTAGAGTGTGTTGGGCAGTTAAACTATAAAGTAAATGAGAACAAATAAGCTTTTCCAAGAGCAGGAGGTCAAATGGGAACTTGAGGCCCACACACCAGCTTATACGTCATACAGCTTAAAATCTTTCCTACCTCTCCTTCTGTCTTCATATCTTGTCGTTTGTTCTCAGTTCCTACTTTTCCTGCTGTTATTGTTCAAAGTGTTCTTTCTTAAAATAACTGCTAACAATAGCACAGTGCATACAAGAGCTCAAGCCACAGAAGCTAACTGGCTCAGAGACGTTCAGTAGGTTGCATAGGTCACATAAGTTAGAGCCCCGATTCAATACAGGTACACTTCAAAAGCAGACTTGGCTTGTTTTCTACCTTAGGCTTAGCCCTGCTTTGCGTTGTATAAAGAGACAACCTTCTAATTAAGACATGGAGCTGGGACCTGTCCTGCTGTCATTGACAGCAGCTACTTTCTCCTCAAATCCTCCGATTCCACACAATATCCCCCATACCCCTATCTCCCGCATTTCCCTAGTCGCATCTAATCATTTGCTCTCCTGTGTGCCTTCATTGCCAAGCTCATATAAAAAAAAACTTGGACTTTCTAGGTAAGTTTCATGTAGGTTGATGGTTCCCAAACACCAGCAGACTCTGTGACTTCCACTTGTCCTTGGTCACCTCCCTGTTCCATCCCTCACAGGGAATGGTCTCGATCTCCTGGTTTTGAAGAAAGTTATGTTTATCTTGAAGAAATTGTGGATGTTAAACAACAGGAGTAAGTTGGCAAAGCAAGAATTTGTTTGTCTTTCTTTGAGGACCTGTACACAGTTATTAATGGTGGTGTTGAGGAAACCACAGAGCTTCTGAAGCAGCGATTCGACCATATTCTCTATACGGGAAGTACCACAGTTGGAAAAATTGTCATGGAAGCTGCTGCAAAGCATCTGACTCCTGTGACACTTGAATTGGGAGGGAAAAGTCCGTGTTACATTGATAAAGACTGTGACCTGGACATTGTTTGCAGGTGAGATTGCTCTGGTTTTCTGAGTATTTCTCAGCACAGTGGAAACTTTACCTAATAGGTTGATGTTATCCTTTGCATTTGAATACCATGCCTTATGACTCCAAGGTACATCATTAGTTTTGGAGTTTGATGTGCTCAAGAGCATCAGAAGTCTTTTACAAACCATCCTTTGGTGCCACTGTAAGAAATAATGAGCCATAGGTCCTGATAGCAGATGGTTGTCCTTAGGAAATTTTGGAAAAGTTCTTTCTGTTCTTGAGATTGCAGATAAATCAAGCAAGAAATTTGCCCAGAGTTGGTTTCACATACTATGGATAGCACCCAGACCATTACCACATTAGCATTTGCTCTACCACTGAGCTACAACCTCAGTCTCTGGTGAGAAATTTGAATGTTTTGCTGGCCAATAATCCAGGAAGTACATAATCCAAAGTATTGTGTGTACATAATAAAATCTTTAAATTCTCAATTGAAAGGGATTCTTTGTTGACAAAAAACAATATTACTCATCTTTTAACTTTGAATAGCATCTTGCAGCTGGGAACTCAAAAATAAAGGTATCAGGTTCTCTGCTGAATCAGGTTTACCTACCAGGAAGTGGCAAAACACAGAACTGCCTCTGTTCTCTGAGTGGTGTGGCTTTCTCTCTCCCTCAGAGATGGGGAGCCAAGGGGAGAATTGGATCAGGGTTCCAGGTTGGCTTCCAGTAGAAGCATAATTGCCAGAACAAGAGACTCTCATTGAACGTTGGGTGATGTTCATATGCAGGAAGGGTTTCTTACAGAGATAGAGGGTCCCCATGCAGAGCAGTGTTCAAGGCTACTGGCTGATGTCTGCTTTAAACCTGCACATCTTGCCAGCAGGAACTAAAGCCACACCGGGAGAAGTGGAGTCTGGACTGAGCTCTTATCACCTGGAACGGCCTTTTGACTGGAGAAGAGAAGGAAAGGGGTGTTGAAAAGGCTGTTTATTTTTCCTGCGTCAAGCAGTGACTTCATTACTTCCCAAGTACTATTTTCCAAGCTGCCTTGCGAATTTTGCTCCTACTTAGAATATTCTATCTCAGTTGGAAAATGCTTTCCAAGTTCTTTTTGGAGGTACTGGGGTTTGAACTCAGGGTCTCACACTTGCTAGGCCACTTGAGCCATGGCCCCAGCCCTTTTTTACCATAGTTATTTTTTAGGTAGGGTCTTGTATTTTTGCCCATGACCACCCTCAAACTGTGATCCTCCTAGCTACACCTCCCACCTAGGTGGGATCACAAGTGTGAGCCACCATGCCCAGCTTGGTTGAGATGGAATCTCACTGACGTTTTCCTCAGGCTGGCCTCAAACTGCTCCTGATTTCTTTATCTTTTTGGCAGTTCTGGGGGTTGAACTCAGAGCCTCACACTTGCTAGGAAAGTGCTGTATCACTTGAGCCATGCCCCCAGCTCTTTATGCAATGGTTATTTTTGAGAGAGGGTCTCACTTTATTACCTGAGCTGGCCTGGACCACAATCCTCCTATTTATGTTTCCCTAAGTAGTTGGGATCACAGACATGTGCCACTGCACCCAGCTGTAGGTTGAGATGGGGTCTCTCAAACTTTTTGCCTAGGCGGCCTCCAACTGTAATCCTGTCAGTCTCTGCCTTCTGACTAGTTAGGATTACAGGCTTGAGTCACTGTGCTGGGCAGTTTTATTTTTTTTAATGATTACCAACTAAATATATGAATCCACTTTGGTTGGAAAGCATTCAAACAATACCAAAGTATGTAACCAATGAAAATTTGACCAAATTATACAATTATTCTTGGGTTTTTTTCTCTCAGACGTATAACCTGGGGAAAATTCATGAACTGTGGTCAAACATGCATCGCTCCTGACTACATTCTCTGTGAAGCCTCCCTCCAGAATCAAATTGTGCAGAAAGTTAAGGAAACTCTGAAGGTCTGTGTTCAGCACTTCTGACTCTGCTGCTTTCAATAAGTCAAATGAACTGTTTGCAGGTGGCATCCCCATTCTCTTCTCCTTCTAGGAAAATTCTTGTAGCATATGTGACTGAATTAATTTCCCAGCTAATTGAAAATGCTCTTGCAACCTTTATAGAATGTCTAATGGGAGCAAGGTTAGGTTTATGTAAATACACTTAAACTGTCTAGTTGATTTGTTGATTAGTTGTGGTGTATACTTCTTTTTTAAAAAAAAATTAAAATAACCATGTCTGGTTTTTTGTTTTTTTTCTTCGTGGTAGTGGGATTTGAACTCAGGGCTTTGTGCTTGCTAGGAGTTCTACCACTTGAGTCACGCCTTCAGCCCCAGTGTTTGTGATTTTGAGAGAATATCACCAGTCCCTTTGGCATATTTTTCATTGCTGGTTAAGGTTATTAGTTCTCCTGTATGTATAGGCCCTGCGATGCCCAGTAGTTTGAAGGAGTAAGTTAATCAAATAGCCTTTAGAAGGTTATCAGTCTTTTAGGGTACTTAAAGATCTGCCTGAGGGAACCAAGGAAGACTAGATAGCAAGTATTGTAGGGTCTGTAGATCAGAGAGTCTCTTAAGCAGCAAAGCAATCTATTGTATGTGTGCAGAGCATCTACAATCAAAGGGTGAACAAAAAGATGATCCTGATTCAGAGTAAGACTTCATCCCTGATACCTACTCCCACATTCACCCCCCACCAAAGCCGTAGGAGCCTGTAACTATGGACAGTGATAGAGCTAGGGGGATGGGGTAGGTAGACTGCTTTATTTTCTTATCTTTGACCTACCAAAAAGCTTAAACTTACCACTGTTACACTACTATTAAATTTTGGGGGGACTAGGGTGTTGGATTCTGTGAGGGTATAAAAACAGGACAGTTTTTAAGTGTGAATAGATTTTGAATTTATTAAAGCAATTGAAATATAGGTCTTTGTGACAATTAAATACTCCTGTTTTCAATAGGAATTTTATGGAGAAAATATAAAAGAATCTCCTGATTATGAAAGGATCATCAATCTTCATCATTTTAAGAGGGTACAAAGTCTGCTTGAAGGACAAAAGATAGCACTTGGTGGGGAGACTGATGAGGCCACACGCTACATAGGTAATAGGTTCACCTTTTCCTTTGGGAAGATGGCAGCTTGGCAGTTTTTAATGACTCTGCTTATCGGCCCTACATAAACTGGATTTATGTAGTGTTTCATTATTAAATTCTTAAATACTGCTTTCCAGTATTCTGCTTTTCTTTCTTTTCTGTTTTTCATTTTGTTTTGTTTCTTTGGCAAACTGGGGTTTGAACTCAGGGCCTTGCACTTGCTAGGCAGGCATTCCACCACTTGAACCAAACCACCTGTGTTGCACTAGTTTTTCATATTTACACATATTATCTAAGTTTTTCTAAAATCCTGAGAAGCAGAATAGAACTTGATGCAATTCCCTCCCATTTGTGGATGGAAAAAGAAAGAAATAGCTTCACCACAATTCCACAACCAGACAATGCCAGAACTAATGTCTTGAGAATGGCAACCTGATCCACATTTAGATTAACCACTGGCAAGAGGATTAGGTTGGTCTAATTAGGACTTTCCCCTGAACTGGAGCTAGCCTACCTAGCTCTGCATATGACTATGCAGAGGAGGCAGAGGCCCAAATCAAATTGGTTTTGAGACCCAAAAAATATAGGGGCTGTGGACTTGGGGGAAATAACTTACATGCCCCTGGATTGGTGCTGCAAACAACTGTCCTCTACCACTGTGTCAAGATAACCTAGTAGAAACTAGAGGTGAAGAAAAAGCCCACCCTGTTACTGTCATAAGTCTTCTCTTTTAGTTGACAATCCAGCTTGTTCACAGGGTCTTTCTGAATACTACTCTTTGGTGGCTTACAGTGTGGATACTGAACATCCTGACAGCTTCTTTAGCGTCCCCTTTCCTCTCCTTCCTAATTATAGCTGAAACAGTGAACACAGGTGTAGGGAGTCTTGCTCACTTAAGTATGTTTTCTCAATCTGTAACAGAGTTGTAATAAAAGTCAATGAGATAGTGATCATGCAAGCACTTCAGTTAAAAGAAAAAGTGCTGATTTGATTCACAGAGGAGTGTCTGTGCATCCAGAAAGATCTGTCCATGGAAAAAAATGTAAATATATAAATATATATATATATGTGTGTGTGTATGTGCGTGTATATATATATATAAAACCTATGAACATGGTTAAATGTTAATAAGATATATTCAGTATATATCTTTCTCATGGTTTGCACAAAAATGTCCTGATTCATTTAATTTGGAGCTTCTTAATATTTGCACAGTTCGATCATATTCTCAGGACTTTTGTTTTGGTGCTGGGACTCAAACCCTTATTATCAAACACTTTGGTGCTAAGAAATCCCCCTTAGCACATGCTAAGAGGATTTTTTATTTTTTCAATAGATGTGACTTGAGTAGGAGAGGAAAGGGATGGGTAAGAAACCCAGTGAAATATATGTGACCGTTTTACATTTTTGTCTTCTACTTTAGCATTTTTGTTTTCATTTTGTTTCTTTTCAGCCCCAACAATACTTACTGATGTTGATCCTGAAACCAAGGTAATGCAAGAAGAAATTTTTGGACCAATTCTTCCAATCGTGCCTGTGAAAAATGCAGACGAAGCCATAAATTTCATAAATGATCGTGAGAAGCCCCTGGCTCTCTATGTATTTTCTCATAACAGCAAGGTAAGTCTTACAGAGAAAAGCAGCTCACTGTCATGAGTGTCAAAGTGATTTCTTTTTTGCTATAAAACAAATGATGGTGTATGGGTATATCAAAGTTCACCAAATGATTGTATTTACAACCTGCTATTTTATATAATGAGGCCCTGGGGTTATCAAAGTGCCCTTTCCCCTACTCCCTGGGGTTAGATATAAGTCCACAGGGATAAGTGTGACCCGTCTTTTGACTCACAAATACCTCCTGTTTAATTGGAAGACTTAAACATGCTTTCATGACATGAATCCATAGGGCATATCTGTGTAAGAGCCTGTCCCTATGACCCAAATAGGGCTGGGTAGGACAAAGACCTCTGGTAATGTCATATTAATGCTTGTGATATTTTGGATTTCAGTTTCTCAGATCACATAACTTTATGTTAGAATGGTGGGGTCATATCACTTGCTTAACCAGCTTTGCCACCTGCTGCATGGTTGCTTATTTGCACTGCAAGGTGACTGGCTGCTGCTAGTGGATGGTGGCCTCCGTGAGGGCAATTAAGTTCAGGATCCCTCTGAAAAAAGTAGAAAAATGAGAAAGAGAAGGATGGGACCAGTCAGTGTGAGGAGTTTATGAGCCGAGTGCGTTCTGGAGAGCTTTTGATGGTAAGTAGAAGCAGTTATGTGACAGTTTCTGGAGCTTGAAATTGTAATGAGGTATAGATAGCTACAGATACTTGAAGTGAGACAAATGTGCAGAGCTTAATAAAGACTGAGTTATTCACAGAAATTTAAAATGACTATAAATAATGTGGCGGGTGACCCTGAATCCTGAAATCTACTGGTCAGGGTACACCTGGTTAGGGATCTTTCTCTGGCAATGGGTCACTATAGTCCAGACTTGACATTTGCCGTGAAGGGCTTGTTGGCACCAGGTGAAATGACATTTACTAGTTCAGTGTCATTGTGCCATTTTGGGTGTTAGGTCAACCAGCCATTAATTTCTACAAAAAGATGATGCTAAATCTAAAATCTTAAATACTTTTTGCATTTCATACAAACTAATACCTATTAATCATACACTGATGTAGAGCAGAGATTGAGACTTTTAAAGACTAAAATTTTTAAAGACTGGAATAGGCCAGACTCAGTGGCTCACACCTGTTAATCTATGGGAGGTGGAAATCAGGAGGCTCATCATTCAAGACCAGCCCAGGCAAAAAACCTACAAGATCCCATCTCAACCTAATAAAAACTGGGCAGGGTAGCACATGCCTATCATCCCAGCTAAGCGGGAACTGTAAAAATGGGATGATTGCGATCTACACTGGCCTGGGCATAAATACAAGATCATATCCTAAAACAAACTAGACCAAGAAGGACAAGAGAACAGAGTTAAAGTAGTAGAGTACTTGTCTAGCAAGTGTAAGGCTCTGAGTTGAAACCCCAATAAAAAACAAAAAATCATTGGAATATAGTCTGAACTATTTCTTATGAAACACTTTCTGCTGCTGTTTTGGGGAAGACAACTTAGGTGGCCATCAAGTGAACAAATATTTGGGGATGCCTCCCTCTGTACAAGCTAAAGTACTAAGCACAAGATATGTTTCAGATTTTGGATTTTTTTTTGAGGCAAGATCTCAATATGTAGCCCAGACTGGCCTCAAACTCTTGATTCTTCTGTATTATTCTCCCAAATGCTGGAATTACAGATGTGTACAATCAAATCTGACCTGATTCCGGATTTTTTCAGATCTTGGAATCTTTACATATCTTCTGACTTCTTGGGGATGGGACCTAAGTCTAAGCACAAGATTCATTTACAATTCATACAGACCTTATACATAAAACCTGAAGATAACTTCATACAATATTTTTAGTACTTTTGTACATGTAAAAACTTCATGGTATAGAATTTTCTACTCATGAAATGTTAGCACCTGAAAAGTTTTGGACTTTTCGAGCATTTCAGATTTAAGGTTTTCAGCGTAGGATGTGCAACTTAGGCTAGACATTAATCTGAGAAGCTAGACTACCAATTGTGTTTGCTAAATTAACCACGGTTTAGGTGATTTTATCTGTTTAGCATGGTGTTCCCAAACTCAAGAACTCCCATTGGTACCCAAAGCCTGGATGTGTGTCCCTAGAGTGCACAGCTGTACTTGTGAGGAGCTGGGTGCACACCCTAAGATTCTGGGGTTATTGGGCCTTAGGTCTGACCTGGGCACCTTTGATCTGCTCCTTAGGTCATCAAACAGATGATTGATGAGACATCCAGTGGTGGTGTCACAGGCAATGATGTCATCATGCACTTTGCTCTTACTTCTTTGCCATTTGGAGGAGTGGGTGAGTATTACTTTCTCCTGGTTATAGTAAATATTTCACAAGGCTGAAATAGCTGGCTGCTGTTATTCTGCAGGTCCCCCTGTGATTGTCCTATGCTGAAGAAGCTCTTCCCAGCCACCCAGTTGGCTGTGGTTTTCCTGATTCCCTGCCCACTCCTCCATCTTGGGGTGAATCTAATCTGTCACCCTTTTTGTCCTCAGTAGCACTGACACAGCTGTGATTACTTTGTTCACTGCATTGGTTTATTTGTTCACTGTGCTCTTAGTTTTAGGAGGTTTGGGGGCCAAGAATTGTTCCCCAGTCCTCTGTGGGAGGGTTGCTCTTGGTCATGTCTTTGGCTGGCCCATCCTCCTCTGACCTCCTCAGTGTCAGGGTTTCTCATGGTTCTGCCCTTGGGCCTTTTTTTGAACCTGTCTTGCTTCCTGAATGACCCCCTCCCACAGCTTCAGCTACCACCCAAACACTGGTGACTCAACTTGCAGTCTGGTGCCAGTCATTTGCCTCCTGGCCTCCAGTCACCCTGTCTTCTGCTACTGTGTCATACATATGCCATTCTCCCTGCCCCCCACATGCTTCTCCTCTTGCACCTGTCAGTATGCTGTACACACATAGTGAGTAAGAGAGGTGTAAGCTGTTACAGAACATGGCTTCTTGGAGGGCAGAGATCTTCACTTACATATTTTCACCTAGCTTTAGGTTTTGGTTATGTCAAGGGGCTTAGATGGAACAAGTGGGTGAGTGGGTCCGTGGATAAATAAAGCCACGTGGGATGATGGGAAAAGAACACATGGAGCATCTAGAATCACAGTGACCCAGGTTCAATTCTGGCTTCTTTATTTATTAACCATGTGACCATCGGCAGGTTAACTGAAGGTTGCTTTTCTTTGTCTGGAAACCGGGCTGATGACATACAGCACAGAAGGATGGTGATAAGAATCACCATAGAGAATACAGTTAAGTCTGCGGCCATACCACCCTGAACGTGCCCGATCTCTTCTGGTCTCGGAAGCTAAGCAGGGTCAGGCCTGGTTAGCACTTGGATGGGAGGATAGCCTAAGGAGAGTCACACCCTAGAAGGGCCGTGAATCCTTGTCCTGCTGCTGGAGAGCATCCTGGTTGAAATGAGGTTGCTGAAGTTGATTGGGAAAGATGTCCTGAAGAAAGACACTTTTGTGTGCGGGCATCCCTGGCAGCAGGGAGAACACATGGGCTTTTTCAGTCCGTGTTAGGATGGAAAAGATGCCTTGTCACCTACAGTGAAGCCTGTTTTGTCTGTACCTTTTATTCCAGGTTCCAGTGGAATGGGGGCTTATCATGGAAAACATAGTTTCGATACTTTTTCTCATCAACGTCCCTGTTTATTAAAGTCTTTAAAGAGAGAAGGTGCTCACAAACTCAGATATCCTCCCAACAGCCAGTCAAAGGTGGATTGGGCAAAATTTTTCCTGCTGAAACAGTTCAACAAAGGAAAACTTGGGCTCCTGTTGTTCGTGTTCATGGGTGTGGTGACAGCTGTGCTTGTCAAGGTGAGTCCCCTTTTTCCTCATAAAGTTCCAGTCCTTCTGGTTCCGCCTAAGATTTACTTCTTTTCTCAGGTCTTGGGAGCTCCTCTAGTTCTATAAATTAACTCTATCAAGGCTCTATATTAACTTCTAGAATCTCAGCCAGGATTGGTGAACTACATCCTGCTGTCCAGCTACTTGTTTTTGTAAATTAAGTTCTTGGCACACAGCCACACCCTCCTGTTTACTTCCTGTCTTCAGCTGCTTTCTACTACAGTGGTAAGATAGTTGGGACAGAGGCTGAATGGCTCACCAAGCCAAATAATTACAGAAAAAAAGTTTGCTGACCACTGGTCTAAGAGTTGAAAACACTATAGAATTTGCTTTGCAGAATCCTGAGCTGTCTAACCCTCTAATGCTGTTGTATTGGTCTTTCCTAATCAGTTTCAGTTTTGCTCTTGAATGTGAATGAAATCAGCATGCTGCAGGGATGGTGGAGAGAATTCTGTGCTGGATGATGGTAGTGAAACTGCTTTGGTGAAATGATTTTTTTAGGTATGAGTGCTTTTCCTCCAAAGCTGACTACCATAAAATTTGTCTTTGGTGATTGGGCTTACAAAGAGGTCCTTGTGATAGCTGCCTTCTCTGGGTGGTTTGTGCATCTCTGGGATGAAGGAGAAAATCTGAGAATGAAAGTCAAGATCAAGTAGGCAAAGGCAGTTGTGTCCTTGGAGCTCTCAGCCATCCAGCTGAGGAGATGCACTGAGAACATCTGTAAAGAACTGGCATGGAAAAGAGGCAAGAATCAAGCATTTGATGGAAATAGCTGTGTTTATATTTTGTTTAAAATTTGAAAGGGGGTTGGCTCATCTTGCAGTATCACAGCTTTGGTGGAAATGGAGGTATCAGTTGCATTTGAAATCATTTGGGTTTTCTCAGAAATACCAAGCTGTGCTGAGGAGAAGGGCCCTGTTGATTTATCTGGTAGCTCACAGACTGCGTTGGTCCAGTAAACAGTGATGAACCGATTTCAGACCCCAGCTCTTTCTGTTAAGAGTGAGGTAGGAATTCCTTGTTTTTTTCTATATGTAAGGTGGGCCAAGTTGGGATGTGTTTTGTTTTAGTTGTTTGTCTTCTACAGCTGGAGGCTTAGGGATTATCAAAAAAAGAATGCTTAATTTGTTTGTCTCTATACATTTTGGACCTCAGCCCAGAGTATCAAAGTATTCAAATTCAACTTACCCACAGTTTTAAAAGGGAGGGATGGGTTATTCGTAATCTAAGAGAAATGTAATTACCAGACTGGGTCTAGGTGAAGGCCTACATCATTTCTAGAAAAAGGAACAGCCACATGTGGGCTTCATTGTTCCTCCCCATCCTGTCCTGGAGGGAGTGCCATCTGATTCAGATCTAGAGTCACCGTGGAGATGCTGAACTCTTTGTTTCATAATTTGAGAATAATTTTTAAATCTCTGAGTTGTTTTGTTTGACTCTGTGATTCATAGTGGCAAATATAACGAATCGAGGTATAGCATGCATAGAAGCTTCCTCCTCTTAACTTCTGCATCTTCATGAGGCTAGTGATGTGGTCAGAGGCAGTTGGGATTGCTGCCTGTTTTGCTCCTTTCCTTGGATGCTGGTCTCCTAGCAAATGTGCATCTTCTTGGTTGGTTGGGATAGAATTTCTCAGCCTTCTGGATAAAGTGGAAGACGGTGCTAAGTCTGTGTGCCACCCCCTCCCAGGCTTGCCTTATTCCCAAGAGTGCTGCTCAGGTGCACTGTGCCAGGCAGGTTTGAGTTCCCTAAAGGGTTTAGCAAATAGATTCCCCACCCTACCCCCACCTCAGGCAGAGTCTAGAAAAGCAGTAGTATATAAAAACTGTTTGCTAGGAGTAAGATTATGTCGGCTTGATTCTTGGCTCAGTTCCTGACTTACTTGAAACTTTGGGGAACATCTATTTAAAACCTTCCCTTGGGCCTTAGCTAGAGTCAGGGAGCCAGTGAGTTCCAGACCCCTTTCATCTATCTCTCCATTCTCCTGCTTAGCTGATACATTCGTTGTTCACATTTATTTAGATTCAGCTTGAGACTAGGTGAAAATTTGGTTTCCTATTGCACTTTGCTTCTTCTCTGCTCTTTTCTCTGACCTTTTAAGCTTCTTTTTACCAAGTCATCTTTTATTTTAATTAAGTGACTCAGAATCTACATTGTGTACTTACTTGAGTCTTTTTTAAAATACATTTTTTTATTTTAAATTAACACACAGTGTACATGTTTGTGGGGTACAGTGTGACATGTCAATACTTGTGAACACTGTTTAGTAATGATCAGATCAGGGTAGCTGGCATCTCTATCACCCTTCACACTTATCATTGCTTTGTGTTATAAAAATTCAAAGTGCTACACATTAGCTATTTTGAAATATACAATTTATTGTTGTCAGCCATAGTTTGAGGTGTCTTTATTATAACTATAAACATTTTTGTGAAATGGTTTTTCTGCACCACTTAATAGTTTACTAGTTTTGTTAAGATGTTTGGATTTCATTTTATTCATTTTCTTTACTGGAATCAGAATGGATTTGGAACTTACATCCACAAAGTAAAGTTCAAATAAAGCTTGTAAGCTGGATTGTAGTAGCATTGTAGTAGTCTGGATTTTAAAAGGTAGAGAAACCTCATAGCTGATAAGTGCCGTGGAGCTTTGGCAAACCCAAGTTTCACTTTGAGGTTGCAGTTGCACTTCTTCAGCATTAGTGAGATGGATTTTCTTCCTTAATACTTTTGAATCTTAGAAACAAATTTGTCAGTCTTCACATTTCGTGTGGAGACTTAGCTTCTTACTTACAGTGTCAGGATAGCAAATGAGTATTTTCTACTCTTCTCTCTCTGGATTTTGGACAGAATACAATATAGATAAGCTATATTTCTGTCATTATTGTTGAACAAAGGCATATTCTTTTATCTTCAGGTAAAACTATATATACTTAAGACCTAGGGACACATAGGCCTTTGAGATGGGGTATTTGTTAGAGTCCTGGATGTTCCATCATGTTTCAGGGGTGGTTGTAGGTCGGGTTTTTTGTTTATTTGTTCATTTGTTGGCACTACTGGGGTTTGAACTCAAGCGCTGTACCATCTTAGGTATGCCCCCACCCCTGTGGGGTTTTCTAAACCAGTAGAGTAACATGCATCCCTTTCTCCTCTCTCCAGGCTGTGTATTACTGAAGAATGATCCTGTTCAACCTCCTAATTGTCTCTTCTGAATTACTCCTCTACCAGACGATTAATGAACCAGTAATTTTCAAATCCTGCCAAATCAGAAAATATGTAAATGTGCTATGATCAAACCTAAAAGTCATTGCCACTCACCATTAATAACTTTTCCATTTCAGGCAAACCTAACATTCTCCAATAGTGAGGGTATTCAGAAAACCTATTCTAGATTGTGCTAGGGGGTGAGAATGTATTAGGCTAAGTCCAAACTCCTTGGGGATGTAAGGGAGATCTGTTCAGTGACTTCTTTACTCCAGTTCATAGGTCATTGTCCCCTACCCCTACTGCCACCATTATTCAGTGTAGCTTTCAAGAGCTTAACGCTGCCCAGAGCTACCTGCAGTCCTCTGTAGTCCAGAGAGGTGAGATTAGATCCTCCCAGCTCCCTTTGAGGTGTGAGGCACTAAAACTGGGCAGTGGAGGGGCAGCAGGGGAGGGTGCCCCCCTTGGAACTTGAGAACTTGACCTCCAGGAGTAGCTCTCTGGTCAAACATGTCATCTGACCAGCACGCTTTCTCCTTCCTCATTCATTCTCCATTTGTGATAGCATGTGTGACTATCCACAGATGCTTTCTGAACCAGTATCTCTCGATGCATCTTACAGATCTGAGGGCTTCTTAGAAGATCTTTGCCAATTTCACGCGCATGTCACCTATCATTCTTGTGGTGGTGTCATGTCAGAATTATATATCTTATAAAACCTAACTGGCATTTTTTAAATGCTGTAATAAAATTAAGTATAAAAATACAGCCATGTGCAGTGGTACATGCCTATAATCCCACCTGCTGTGGAGGCTGAGGCCAGAGGATTGTTTGAGCCTAGGAGTTTGTGGCCAACCTGGGGAACATAGTGAGACCCTGTGTCCTCTACCAAAAAAAAATCCTGTCAGTACCCAAAGTGGCAAGTTGTTGCATCTTCAAGGGCAAATCTTATTTCTGTGGCACAATGCCATTAATTTCACTTTTTTAAACTTAAGAGAATTCCCTTCCTGAATAAATTCAGCCCGCAGGCCTTGAAGTGGGAGAATCGTTTCCTGCCACTGAAAAAGAGGCCTTGGATATTAGGACTTTGAGAGTTGAGCGCCTCGCGGGGCAGAGAGGGTGTATCATTTAGAGCAGTTTGGAGAATACCATTTAAGCCTGTAGGCCATAATAAAGAGGATAGAAGATGGTGAGAGGATCTCCAGAGCAATGAGAAATTATTTCCAATTAGTCGCAGCCAAGACTTTGAAGAGCTCCAGCCCAGTGGGAAAGTGCCAACAGAGGCCTGATTAGAACTCAGCACTCGCTCAGGGCAGTGCTCAGCTGGGCTGGACCTTGGAGCTCCTGGCTGCTGCCTCTTGGACTCAGAAGACCTGAGCCACTTAATGAAAGAATGTAACTTCCGTTGTCGAATGTATGCTGAACTTTGTTCAATAATTTGTTCCATTGGGCTGTCTGAAGTATGTTATCACTTTATCACAGTATGAGGTGTCAAGAATGAGTCATTGCCTCATTTAGCAAAAAGTTGCTTAAACTGCAGTTCTCATAGAATAATCAATCATAAAATATCCTACAAAAACTTTCAATATGGAATTTTTATTTAGTATATTAAATTACAACATAATTCCTAGCTAAGCTAAGCTATTACCTTATCTGTTGATATATTCGGCTTTGAAATAAATATATTTCATAGAATTGGCATGAATTTTAATAACTTTTTTTTTTTTTTTTTAGACGAACTGGGGTTTGAACTCAGGGCTTTTGCACTTGCTACGCAGGTGCTCTACCACTTGAGCTACACCTCCAGTCCTTAATAACATTCTTAGTGTGGAACTTCAGGCATGTCCTACTGAAGACAGTCCTTTGGTCATAAGTTTTCTCTAACTATAAATCCTTCTTTTGCTTTTATCTGTCAAAGGTAGTATTTATTAACTCTCTTTGTCATACTTTCTCATTTTAAAATTCTTAGCCAAGAATTCTGTGGCATGTGTGTATGATGTGTGTGGTGGCCATGGATGGCCTTATTCACCATCAAGCCTAGAGATGTTCACCAATCCCAGGCCTTGAAGAAAAGCAACCAAGAATTTTGATCAGGGCTGACTTCCAATCTGAGGCTGTGTGGAAAATCAGCTGGGTTTGCAGCTTGTTTATCCCATACTGCTACTGTAAGAAAATATAGTAAGAGCAAATATTTCTACAAGTCTATGGTATGTAAAAATGCTGGCAAAATGAAAGAACTGGAGGAAAGAAAAGAAAGGTCTATAGTTAGCCTCCTTCCCTCGTCAGGGTCTCACAACAACTGTGTCTGCCAGGGACACACAGGGCTGCCTGGGCAGGGCCCACTACCCCTTTCTCAGAGCTCCACAGAGGCTTTATGAATAGTTGAAGACCTATGGGCTAGGGATGTAGCTCAGAGATAGAACATTTGGCTAGCATGGGAAAGGCCCTGGATTTAATCCCCAGCACCGCCAAAAAAAAAAAAATGAGCTAAGTTTTATGACTTTGAGATCTTTGGCAATCTTTGCCCTATAGTCTCTTTCTCATGCATTTCAGAGTTGGAAAGGCACAAACCATCCGTAAGGACAAGGAAGCTGAGGCTGAGGGGGAGATGTTCCCTGCCTAGGAAGCCTTAGGCACTCTTGAGTTGCTGCTGCTTCAACATATGGTTTCCCCTTCATTTCTACAGAAAGTAAGAGAAACCCCATCTTGGCCTATAGAGAAACTGAGGCAGGAAAGAGGGCCCCTGGCTCTCTCAAGCGGGAGCTTGGAACTTCCACTGGGATCTTCTTGGATGTCAAGGCAGGGAGGGGGCCTGGCCTGCTTTCCCTCCAGGAAGGACGGAAAGGAATAAATAGGCCAGCTCCTCTGCTTGGGGAGACACAGATGGCCTTGGCAGAATTACTTAGAAGCTAAGGCCAAGGTATCTCCCCTACACACAAAGGGTGATTTATTTCTCCCACTGCAATTTAGGCATCTGGTGCCCCACACCTTCAAGGTGGCCACTTTCAACTGAGGCGTAACAGCCTGCCTCCGTGTCACCTGCTCTCCCTTTCCCTCCAGAACAAGCATGTGCAACACCACCAGGCCTTGGTGCATAAGGAAGCACTTCCCAGAAATGTTTAATCCCTACAAAGTCTCAGGGAAGTGAGTAGGGGTCCATTCTCCACACACCTGGAAGCTAACCTGGGCTCGGGGTCAACCTCTTCCCTCTCCTTGCCACTACCAGGGAAACCAGGCTCTTCTCACATGTCACCACCTGTTGCCCCACTTCCTGTACTGCAGAAAGGCCCCTCCCTGCCTTGCAAACGTCTGTGTTCCATTCCCAGTGCTGGTGATGTCTGAGGGCTTTTCAGAAGGAAAGAAAGGGGACCCAAGTTTGGTTCAAAGGTAATCCAAGAAAGGCTGCCACATGGCCCTTTGATGGGGCACTGAGCCCTTTGACCCTCCATCATGCTGCCCATAGGCCTATAGAGCTGAGCTTGGGCACTGTCTCCTGGGTCCATTCAGTCTTGGTACTCACTAGTCACTGTGTGGGGAGGACCAATGTGGGATTCTGTACTGGTTGCCCTGGCCCAGCACCATGACAATTAGGCCAACCTGCTTCGAGGAGTCTGAGGCTCCTGAGAACAGACTGGCTTTGCCAAGAAGACTAAGGCTTGTCTTTGGTTGAAGTGTAACTGGGGAAGGCCTGGCAAATGAAGTAGACCAATCTGTGAAGAAAGGACAAATGCTGCTGTCCCCAGGGCCCAGCCCTCCCCACCACATTGGGCTGCAAACCCAGGCATAGAGGAGGAGGAGGCCCAAGGAAATGTACCCTAAGAACCCCCAGGGGGTTGCAGCAGGTGCCAGCCAAAGAGTTCTGGCTGAGCCTGCCAGGACGGTAAGGATGCCAAGCTCTCACAATGGCAGTGTCAAATCCTGCCACTGGCTAGGGGAAGCTAAAGTGTCTTCTCCCCATTCCACTCAGAGTCTAGTGCAGGAACCTGAAAGTACTGAGCCAGAAGGCCACAGCAGGGTGGTCTTCCACTTTATCACCGCTGTCCCAGCCACATCTTCACATGAAGTACCAAAGCTAGTGCAAGAGTGGAACTTGGAATTCTGCCTCAGAGCATCATGCTCTTTTTTTTTCCCATCACCCTCTTGGGAAAGACCAAGGAAGAAGACAGGTATCTGGAGTAGCACTGGAGAACCTGTCCCAGTAAAGTATAAAGACTTGTTCCTTGCCCAAGTGCACCGGTGGCTCACACCTGTAGTCCTAGCTATTCGGGAGTAGAGATCAGGAAGATCATGGTTTGAAGCCAGCTGGCCAAATAGCTTGCAAGACCCTATCTTAAAAATACCAGTACAAAACAAGCTGGAGGAGTTTCTCAATGGGAGAGTACCTGCCTAGTAAGCAAAAAAAAGACTTGGCCCTCGCTTGGGACCTGCAGGGCAGGGTGAATTCACTAGTTCAAGCTTCCACTTCATATAAACAACATGGCAGTGACCCTTGCCAGGCCACCACAGTCTAGTGGAATCTAATGGTCTTGAGATGCTTTGAATCCTCCCAAATGGGATTCAGGCCCTGAGGCCAGGAGGGAGGCTGCAGGGAAAAGGCCAGTCCTGGTTGAGGTCTGAGGTACAAACTGGTGCAGGGTGGGGCCTGTGCCCTGTGCTTTCCATAGTATGGAAAAGATCATAGGTGGGCATTTGCAGATCCCATCCACCACTATCCTACAACTCAGAAAATTGCAATTGCTGGACTTAGTGGAACTAGAACTTGTTTTGCCTGAGATGTTGGCACTGGAATCCTCGTTGGGCCTCTTCCCCATCAGAAACTTCACATGAGCAAAGGATCAGTGGAAAGGGTGCTGACTGTGCTGTTGGACATCACAGGCCTCTTGTTCTTTCAGCTGAAGAACCTATTGCCAAAGTGCCTGCCCTCCCTGGCCTGGGTGGCCTCTCTTCTAGCAGTTTCTCCCTTTTGGCTAAGTGCCTCTCAGTATTTGAGCATGAGGTCTATGTGCACATGAGAGACCATCCTGCTGATCTTCTGCTCAGCTCTCCCAAGGGAATGAGCTCCACCATGAGCAACACCTGCTCCACTGTGGCCAGGACATTCAGGAAGTTTTCCAGGCGCCAGATCAGTTTGCCACT